GACTTTCACAGATAACTCCGTCAAAGGCTCTTCCCCTTGGTGGAATGGAAGATATGGAAGTCAAGCCCTAAGAGGTGACACTTCACTGCCACAATAAACACCAAGTCAATCAGGAATGATGAGGAAAACATGAGTCACAATGCCCGTGCCACTGAACACCACCCCCGCAGCTGAGGGTGAGAAGCCGCAGGCGTGGTCCTCAACTCCCAAAGGCCCAGGGCGCACAGGGAAGCAGCTGAATTCAGAGCTGACGTAATCTGTGTGCGACAATCAACCAAGCCCACTCCCACCTCTGTCTACTCTGCCTAGAAGTTGCCACAGTGAATATTGTTGGGCTCAAAGAAATTCCTTCCTTCTGGCAGGTAGCTCAGTACTGCACCTTTGAGGAGCCTGAGTGAGGTGACAAACTGCCCCCAACTCTCAGGACTGCTGCCATTGGGACATGGTTGGAGTGGGTCCCCCAGGCTTCATGTGTAGGAGCCCGGTCCCCAGTGCGATGGTGCTGAGAGGTGGGGACCCCTGGGAGGCAGGTCCTGGAGGGAGGCAGCTTCCTTCCTGGCCTCTCCATCTGTCCCTGTCACATGCCCTCCCGCCACGGTAGTGCTTGAGGTGATGTGGCCTAGGGTGCCCCACTGGAGTCACTGCTGCTCTGTCCAGACCCTCACCCTGTACAGCGGAGCGGAATAAACCTCTCCTCTTCATAATTATGTAGCCCCAGGAATTTCATTACAGCACCACAAATGAGGTCCAAGCCCCTTTTCCAGGTTCGGGTCTGTCGCCCTAAGAGACACCTGGGCATGGCCCTGAGGCGAGAAGACTGCTACTGAGCTGCCCTTCTGACGCTGCTCCCCCACCCGCACTGGGCAGCAGAAAGGCGGAGGGTGCTTCCTTTCCCTGTGAACCCAGGCTGCTGTCCAGCTCATCTGATCAGCACCAGGAGGGAGGGGAAGTGATGCTGGGTCACTTCTGGGCCTAGGTTTTGAGAGAACTGAGGGCTTCCGCCTTGGAAACTGGATCCCAGCTTCCGTGTGAGAAGCCTGACGACTTCCTGGAAGGTCACACAGACTCTGTACAAGGAAAGTCATCAGTGACCTGGACCAGTCTGTATAAGCTATTTAGGGTCCAGTGCCAGCACAGAGGCCACAGGAAGTAGGACAGTGAGATTTCACTTCCTTTTATCGAAGTTCCGACAGACACTTTTTGAGCAGAAGGCAGTGAGAACTGTGAGTTCCCATGTGTGTGGCTTCACCCAGCTAAAGGAGACTTCAGCAGAAGCCCCAGTGCCCTAACTCTCCTGGGCAGGGGCACCAGCAGGGCGTGGCACTGTGAGGGACCAACCCTGAGCTTGCGCCCACAGATGCCTGCATAGGTCCTTCAGTCCGGGAGTCGGCTGAAGATGTCTGCCGGGGCAGAATGGTCCGAAGAGCTTAGGACCCTTAAATCTGGGCTTCCCAACTGTTTATGGGAAAATCTGATTCCAAAGTGGATAATGATTACTGTGAATCACCAGGAAAACATTCAGAAACCACTTCTGTCCTGTTTCTTTCCAGGGAGAGTAAGACTCTCCAGACAGGGAAGGGTGGGTATTCCCTGTAGAAGCTCCCTTGGGAATCTAGGGTTAGGGAAGTGCCCTTTCCCCTTGGTCAGCCAGATGTTCCCTCCCTCTTCTTCCTCCTCCCACCTCTTCCTCCTCCCTCTCTCTCCACTCCATCCCCCACTTGAAGCCAACATCCTGAGGATCCTATTAAGTCATCCACACACCCAGCCACACCTGAGAGTTGGTGCAATTCCCCTCCCTCCCTCCAGGGGGTACAACATCAGGTGACACCACACAGTGGGACAGGCAGAACTTTCAGAGGCTTCAAGGTTTCCAACTAGCTGAAAGGCTGCCCACTTGCAAACCAAAACATCATTTGCAAAATAAGATTTCAGCATTCGTGGCCATAAAACTCTCTAAAACATATTGCAAGTATCCAATTTCCTGAATATAACTTAGCCTCACCTTCATAACTCAAGGCTGTTAGCATAAGCATGCATTTCTGTCCTGGGGCCAGAAAAAGGAGCTGGAGACTAAGGGCACAGACACCTCCAGATGACACCCAAAGACAACTAGAAAGTTGGTGAACCACGGGCCACAAGCGGGACTCCAAATAGGAGGGCCAGCGCAGAAGTCAGGACCCAGGAAGGGGCCCAGGAGAAAGTGCGCACGTAACTACACACAGGGCTCAGACTTAGGGGCATCCTCACAGCAGGCACTAGTTCTGTGCTGGACTCGCTGGCACACTGGGAAAGTCCAAGGGCCATCTGGGGCTGCTCCGTGTCTTCTTCCAGCCCTTCCCCTCTCATCTCTGCTGCTCACTCGCTTCTCCTGGTCCTAGGAACGACCCACTCTTCAGAGGTTCTGAGGCTAACTCTGCCTCTCTGATACACCCGCTTGGTTTCCTCTTAGGAGGAATTCAGGAGCTGATGCTCTTCCCTGCCGACCTCGGCTAATTTCAGAGGTGATGTTGCTGCACCCGGAGTTTCAGACAGCTTGGGAGCCACTGTTCTTCCTCGCTTTTCTGGCACAACTGTCCCCTTTGGGGTTCCCGAGTTCAGTGTCAGTGATCGGGCCCTAACTCTCAAACTCCTTCCCATGGAGGGACCCTAATCCAAGCAGAGCTCGCAGCTCGCGTCACGGTGCAGCCAGTGCCGCAGAAACCTCTGGGAAGGGAGGCATCCCCCGAGAGCTCAGGCCGTCTGGATTACCAGCCTCACGGGACACGTCACATCCCGGAGGCGACACGTCTGTGGGAGGGAAGAGGGGAGCGAAGGCTCCCAAAAGCCTGCTGGCAGAGGCCGTTAGAGCACAAGGCCACGGGTGGAGAATGGCAGTGACTTAGCAACTCCTGTTGTGGACCGAGAGCCGAGGGACCCACCGATGTGCTGCAGCTCCATCACCCGAGAACGACCGTCCCGAGGTTGTGGGCATAGACAGAAAGTGAGAGTGACCTAACCGAGAAGGAAGGAGGCGTTGGTTTAGGTGCCTGTTTGTTTGCCTGATCACCTTACAGTTTCTCTGGTAGCCTTCTCCTGGCTTCTCTACAGAGGAAGCACTCTTTGCTTTCCCTCCAACCATCACCCATCATCTGCCCTCCTTTTCCTCCTCTTTCCTCTGCGGCGGCTCTTCTCCGGGGAGAGAAGAAGGGAAAGATTGGCTAGGAACAGCCTTGGTACTTGGAGTGGGTCTCGTCCCAGGTCCGCCGCTTCCCAGCTCAGGACCCAGCCCAGGTTCTCGGCTTCCCTGGCACTTGGCCCCTCACTCGGTCCGTGGAGGAAGAATCCCCGGCAGCATGCACTCGACAGTCTAGTCCTGAGGACACAGAGTCCCCAGCCTAGGTACCCGATCTGCCTGACACTGCGTTGCTGGCAAAGGTGACATCACTGCCAGCCACGGGCTGCCCTGCCACGCTCTGAGGGTGCCGGAAGATTTAAAGGTCTCCAAGTGGAAGTTCCTCTTTTTTTTTGGTACTAGAAATTGAACCCAGTGCCTTTGACTGAGCCCTTTCCTTTTTAAGACAGGGGTCTCCCTAAGTTGCCCGGGCTGGTCTCGAACTTATGATCCTCCTGCCTTAGCCTCACAGGCATGCACCACCAAGCCCAGATGCAAGCAGAGGTTCTTGAGGACCCACTAGTATAAAAACAATCCCTTTTCATGAGCACAGGTATCAATCAACTAGTACTAAAAAAAGGGCTTTGAACTTATTTCTGAGATCTCACATACATCAGCAAGGCACGAACAGTCTCCATTTTCATAATGAAGGCTGGGAATGCGCTCATCCAAATGATCCCAATTTCCAAATAATTAGAATCCACAACTAGAGATATCTGCATACAGACGTTAGTTCCTTTCTTTTCCTCCGGTGAACTGCTTTTTAACCATTTCATTACATATGCAGCTTCTCTCTCTCTCCTGCAGCACCCAGAGCCCCTGCAGGCCCCTCCATCCAACCTGAGAGACCTGGTCACTGGGGCTGAGGACATGGCTCAGTAGCAGAGCACTTGCCTGGCACCAGCACTGAGAAAGAAAGACTCTGCCCTTGCAAGAGTTGTTCCTTCTGCCAAAAATAAGTCCCCCTTGTCCTTGCCCTGCTTAAGATTCCCCTGGAAGCCTCACCCAAATGCCAGCTCCCCAGTGAGACCCCCAGCTCTGCCTTTGAAGACATGGATCATACACTGAGCAGCACTCCGTGGCACACGGAAATCACCCTGGGGTCCCCTTAAAGTGCAGATCCTGAGTCCTGCTCAGTCCAGCTGGGCCTGAGGTGGTACATTTTTTGCATCTCCTCTTTGTCGCTGGAGCTGCGGCCAGACAGATGCCACCTCAGGTGTGAGCTTTTAGCAGCGCATCTGAAACCTCAGCACTCAGGCCCTTCACTGTCTTCTGACACCACCGTCCAGCAAGGCTATCAGAAGAGGAGGGGGAGGAGAGGTCAGGGCTGCTGGGGTAATGGGAAACAGAGGGTGTGAGAGGCCAGGGAAGGGGTGGGTCGGAGAGAGTGGAACCAGAGAAGAAATAGAAACTGGAGAAGTTAGGGAAGAAAAAGAGTGAAAAAAACTGGGAAGAAAGAAGACAACTGGGAGGAAGAGGAAAGGGAGAGAGGGAGGGACGGCTGTGGCATGAGAAACTGGACAGGAGCTGGCTCCTTGTCACAGTGGCATCCGATTACATCAGCGGAGTTTCCAGAGGAGGGGTCTGAGGGCTGGGCCAGAGCAATCCAGGGGAGGGGGCTCCGCACGGGGAGAGGTGGGCCCACAACTTTGGGACTGCACCGCAGGCCGTTCCTGAGTGATCAGGGACACTGTTCCCACAACAGGACAACAAACATGCCTGTGCCTACACTGCCACAGTGGGTGCACGGAACAGCTGAGGTCAGCTAAGAAAATTTCAGAAGGTCCAAAATCTTTTATCTGAAGACCTCGAACTGATCACGCATGAAAACCAGCCAACCCTGGGTTACCTGGTACAGCTCGATCCGTTGCTCGGGCACTCTGGCTTTTGGGTTCTGCAAACGAAAGACTCTGAACTCTGCTTTCACCAAATTGGAAGCGTTTTTCTCCATTGCCGAGACATCAAATCGGACGATTCTGAAGTAGGGTCTGTAGAAAGGGGGCGGGATGGCATCTGTAAAAAGTTAGGGCAATCATTGAAAATGATAAAACCCACTGTGCTCACACAAAAGCCCACAGCATGAGACAGTCCCCGAAACCCTACGGGGAAACAGCTACAGAATGACTTTGTTTCCAGTGGTCAATTTAATACCATTAACAATTTAACCAGAACAAAAGAAATAAAATAAACATATGCATTTGGTTACAGAAGCAGCAGATTAATAGGGATTAGCAAACCACTTCCAGCGACATTTGAGGACATGCAGTTAACCCTGTCCTTTGGAGGCTGACAGAGGGGTGGAAAATCCTAGATGGTTATAAACTGGAACAAGAGAGCTGTCGGGCCTGCTTACACTTTAATCAGATGTGCCAAGAAAACATCTAATAGCAAGCAGCTTGCCCGTGTATTTTTTTTCCCCTTGAAAGTCTGGCATCCAAATACTCTGCTTTTATCCAGGCTCATGTACTGCATGTTTTTTGGCTACAGTAGTTTGGTTTGTTGCACACAGGACCAACTTACGGTGAGGAAATCTGAATAAGCAAAACTATACCCATAAGCTGGCTATATCAGCTCTACCTTAAATTCTTTATTGGGGACAATATCTGCTGATGGACCATCACCCTCATGAACAAGGAGAAGGAATCAGCACAGATTCCTTCCGCTCCAAACCATGTAGAAGACAGAGCGTACCCAACAATTTCAAGTTCATGCATTGCTCAGAGTTTTGCTGTTACATTTAGTAACCTGCCACTGCCTTTGCATATGCATCTAAGGCTACACCAGGACTGAAAGAGCAGGCCAACCAACCCCACCATGCTTTTATACACAGCATTCATTAAGCACCAACACCAAACGGACCCCATGTTACAACCGCATGTCTACAATCTTCTCCAAACTCTCTTACGAACTGACTTCCCCATTCCAGGGCTCTGTCCAGTCTGGTGGCGCCAACTCTTTCTACCCTTTCTGCCCCTATGTAGCTTTAGGACAGCATGGCCATTCATAGCTGGGTAAGTTTCTTTACAAACATTTTTATGACCTCGGCATTATGTTTGTTTATTTTGTTTTCCCCTGTGAAATTTTAAGAATCTCAAGGGCAGAGACTGTTTGCCAGGTCTTTCTTTTCCCTGAATATTCAGGACAGCGCTGTGCACACAAGGGCTCACCAAACGTCTGCTGTTTGCATAGTTGGTCATCAATAAGAGTCTTAAAAGACTCAGGCATCTAGCTACTGGCAGCACTAACATCTTGTTAAATAAACAAGTCAGCTTGCTGACCTTAAAATAGATATAAATACCTTTTGTGATTTCTTGAGAAGTCCGTGCCCTGATAATTACGCTGAAAAAAAATGCTAAGAACACACCGACATTTCCTCATCTTCAGAGCTCTGCATCTTTTCTTTCCCTGTATACGAGAGACTCTGAACACAAATCCTTGGAGAAGAGGTGAATTCCAAGCCACCCTCTGCTCAATGCTGGTCCATAAAATGAATGTGTGAATTGAGGCTTTGTAGCTGGTGAACCAGAAGCCTCAGAAACAAATAAACAAATAAACAACAGCAAAAAAAAAACCCCACCAAAATCCACAGCATTCAGATTTCTGAGAAAAGCAAGCATTCATGCAGACACAGTGATAACCCACTGTGCAACTACTGTGAAACTTTGTGGGCAGGGGTCAGGCTGGGAAATGTTCATACCAGTAAAAAGGGTTTTGGAGCCCCCTAGCATAGTGGCTAGAAAAGGTAACTGCTGAGAAATATGAGGTGTGGTAGAAAAATACGGTATGTATTTAAACTTTAAAAAATTATTACAGTAAAAGTCACATTTCCATTAAACCCACTCAACACATTCCCCCTGCTTCAAACACACTTATCCCATCATTCTTGCCACTTTCTGAAGCAGGTCTGGAAGTCTTCTTTCATGAGTGTCTTTAGTTGTGCTGGCGTGGCTGCCTCAATTTCCTCAGTGCATTCAAAACATTTACCTTTCATGGTCATCTTGTCTCTGGGGAAGAGCCAGAAGTCACACGGTGCCAGATCTGGTGAATAAGGTAGATGAGGACACGCTGTAATGTCTTTACAAGCTTGCCTTTCAGTGGGATGGCACTTAGCAGCAGCATTCACCATATTTTTGATCACATCTTGTAAAGACACTCAGAAAAAAGGACTTCCAGAACTGCTTCAGAAAGTGGCAAGAACAGTGAGATAAGTGAGTTCAAAGTGATAGGGAGTATTTTGAGGGGATTCATAGTGATGTGTCTTTTACTGTAATAAATTTTTATTGTCAGTATCAGTACACGTCTGTGGTATATAATGCTCACATTCCTCATGGGCAATTGGCACCTGTACATAACACATCTGAATTCTTTTCTCATCCGCTTTCCCTCCTCCCACCCCCACCCGCTGTCTGCTGATTTCCTTCCCCTTTGAGAAGGATCTATCTCCTTTCTTCCTATGACCCCTCTTTTATTTTGTTTTTATTTATATTTTGGGTTTTTCATATAAAAGAAACCATGCGATATTTAACCTTCTGTGTCTGATTTATTTCACTTAACATTATGGTCTCAAGGTGCATCTATTGTCCTACAAATGACTCAAGTGTACCCCTTCTTAAACTTAAACCATTCACTATCCATCATGAGCACCTCTTGGATCTCTCTCTCTTCTGGAATACGCCCACTCTGGTGCCCGGAGAGTCTGGTCCCCTCCTAACCAGCTCAGCTGAAAATGGCCAGGCTCTGGACAGAGGCGGTGGGGCCCTGGCTCCGCAGCCCAGTGGCTGCATTCATCTTCGCTCATCCTCCGCCTTAGGGAGCAGAAGCCCACACATCGCATCTCCCGTCAGAAGGGTCAGCAGGGGGCCTTCTGCTCCACCTCCCCAGCGGGGCCCACAGGCCACTTCTCCTTCCACAAACACCCATCCCTCACACCCGCTGGTCCCCGTCTTAGCCTTCCATCAAGTTGTAAATAAGTGCTTTTGAGATTTATTTTTATTCTCCTTTGTGTTTATTAAACTCTGAGCTGCTTTTCCCCCTTTCTGGTCTTCTGCCCATACACATGCTTCCTTTTTATGGCTGCCTCGGACCACGGGGTCAATTTTGTCTCTTCTTCTCCTAAGCAAACCATGCGATGATTCCGTCCTAGGCTTTGAGCTCAGAAAATGTTTGCAAATGTTTACAAGCGCAGTCCTGGGGAGCCAGGCTGTTGCCCTGCTGCTCTCAGCACCCGGCACACGGCCCTTCTCCCCTCCTCTGGGGCTTGGGGAGCCACGGAGCTCCCCTCGGCTCTATCTCAATGGCCACCACAGGAGCCGTCCTGGGGCTGCGTCTTCCACAAACGGGGCTGCTCCTGTCTCATCACCTCGGGAACCGCCCGGCCACCCCACCCGACACACAAGAGCTCAGACTGCAACTGCTGATGGAGGAGCCACTGTGTCCGGGGCCAGTCTCTCCAGTGCCCTGCTGTCATCTGCTGCCCAGCCCCTGTGCCTGACCTCTGCCAGCTCAGATGCACTCGCGTCCTGGCCCTTGCCTTGCTGTCCACTTCTGACCCACTTTTCGGTTCTCTCCCTGTCGGGTTTCACACCGGCGGGCCAGGCTCCTCCTCCCATGCTTCCCTGGGTGCCTTGCTCGTAGAAGAAGGTGCTGTGCCACCCGGATGGGGTCCCTCCCCACGACGCTGGCTACACATCCCTCCCTGTTCAATCAAACTTGGGGAAAAATAACAACATCTAATGGGTCATGAGCTTCCAGAGTACCGGTGTTCAGAAAGCCTGCCTGTGACACTTACCCAGGACCGTTTCACTGTGACGGGGCAGGAGCCCAGAGTCCCCACACTGAAAGACCTCACACTTGAGTTTCGTGCTCAGGGTCAAGGTCCTGAAACCCTTGGCCATTTTACCTTTGAAATCACCTCTGTCAGTGAGCTTTATGCAACAATGGAGCAAGCACAGGGGCTCAGAAGCTCGGCTCTGCTGCTGACCACCTCCCAGGACTCTGCCTCCTGCCCATGCCCCCATGTCCTCAGCCACATCCGGCCTCATCTGGCCCATCTAGTGACTGCTGTCACCGCCACACTTGGGAAGGCTGGGGTCAGGCATGCCACCCACACAGCTTCCGGTGGGACACTGAGTCAGCTGCCCCCACCCCCAGCTGATAGTTGTGTGGTACCTCTGGGGCAGGTCATCAGGGGCACGGGGTGCAAAGCCATAGGCTGAGCACTGGACCTATGAGGCAGGAGACGCCTGTGCCTGGCCCAGGGAGCATCAGTCTCCAGCTGGTGGCCGGGACACTGTGGCTGGCTGCACGCTACTGGGTGCCTATGAGTCTCATTCCAGGATCCCCTGGTGCCCAAAGGACACAATAGCAAATCAAACAACCACTCACACATGCACCTACACACAGAGGTGTGCAGAGAGAGAGAGGGAGAGAGAGACAGAGGTTGAGAGAGGGGAAGGAAGTTTTATATTCTTGAATCCATGATCTCCCTTTCTCTTATCTTTTGAATGAGGGGCCTCGTGTTTTCATTTTGTAGAAAGGTCCTGCATATTTTGTACCTAGCCAGAACACTTTCACGGTGCAAAAGATCTTTAAGGTGATCTCGGTTCTAATCCCAGGTGAACCTGAGCCCGCTGAGAGGTGAACACTGGGCATCAGGTGGCCTTGTGGAGCTATTTCTTCGCTGCACAGTGAGGCAAAGGCTGTGGAAGTGGCTGTCTAGATGACGCGAGTGAGTAAGCAGATGGAAAGCCAGAGCTGTGGGTCGAGCACAGATTTCCACTGGGATCCCTTCCTGACCCCTTCCCATCTTGCAGGGAGACTGCCAAGTGCTCCCTGGGGCTTTTCTGTGGCTGCCCCTGGACAGGAAGCTCTCGTACTGCCTGGCAGGCTTCAGTAGAGCAGGGAGGAAGAAAGGAGCAGCCAGGACTGAGAGTCCTGGGGTGGCATCTAAAGCACCCTGTTCGAGCTGAACCCTGTGCCTTTGAGCAGAGGCACCAGTCATGGAAGTCCTTCCA